GGGCTGGGCAGTGGCAGAGGGCTCCCGGCCGAGCTTGAGCCTCCCTCCGCAGCTGGTGAAGCGGTGCTCTGGGACGGTCACCCTGGACCCGGCCAGCAGCGCCTCTGACGTCAGCTGTACCGGGGTGAGCAGGGCGCCCCGGGCTGCAGGGGCACGGGCGGGGTGGGCGGTTCACACGGTGGGGCGGTTAGAAAAGCCCCTCTATTCTCAGGCTCCTCTTGAGCAGTGGTCATCAAAGTCTGGTCCTGCCTGGCCTGTAATCCCAGCACTTGTGAGGCTGAGGCAGGTGGATCCCAGGTTTCAGGCCAGCCTCAACTATGTAACAAGGCCCTGTGTTGCTGCCTACGTATCCGTTAGAGGGTGCCGGCATTCGGTCCCATGTTCCCAGGGTGACCCCGGAGGTTGGGCTGAGGCCCCAGACCTCCTCGGGTGGCCTCATCAGGGCTGAGGTGGGGCTGGGTCCTGGCCTGGTGCCAGCGAAGGCCCCAAAAGCCCATCTTTCTGTTGCACAGGGGCAGCGTTTCAGCAGCGTGGCATGGCTGCGTAGGCTCCTCCAAAAAGGGGGGCAGAAGCTGGGGGAAAAGTTTGAGCAATTTGGCCAGAGAATCAAGGATTTTTTTCAGAGCCGCAAACCTGGATCGGAGCAGGAGAAATAAAGCGTGACTCAAGTTCCCGAGGCCTCGGCTCTTGTCTTGCTTTCTCCCTCTGTCCACGGTGGAGTCCTCACCGTCAGAACTGTGAGCCTGTCTGCGCGTGCATGTGTGTGTGCACATGACACGGAGAAGGGTGGGCACAGCCTGTGCTTCCAAAGAGAGCCACGTGGCCTAGCACAGGCCGTGGCCCATACCGGCAGACCACATCTCCAACAAAAGAAAAACTAAAAGAGTTGGTTGGGCGTGGTGTTGCACCCCTGTAATCCCAGCACTCGGGAGGCTGAGGCAGGAGGATCTTTGGGAGTTCAAGGCCAGACTGGGCTACAAAGTGAGCTCAAGGCCAGCCTGAACTGCATAGCAAGACCCTGTCTCAAAAAGATAATAAATAAATAAATAAATAAATTATGCTTAACAAAAGTCTCACTTTAACTTGGTCTTTTTGTTAATATTTGCTTTTTGAGACAGGGTCTCATTGTGCAGTTCAGGCTGGCCTTGAGTTCACTTTGTAGCCCAGGCTGGTCTCAAACTCACAACAATCCTCCTGCCTCAGCCTCCCGAGCGCTGGGATTACAGGCCTGCTGCACCACTCCAAGCCGTTAACTTAGTCTTAAACACCCAACAACAAAAGGACGTAGCCAGAGAGATATATAAATAATAATAATAACACAGGGTAAACAGAAAAAGAAGCGCCAACCACTACCCCTCACTGGCAGTTTCTAGCTACCCCTGTGGCCAGGTCTAGGAGCCAGCTGGGTACAATTGCTATTCCAATCTCTTAAGAACAGAACCCAGGGACTGCAGATTTAGCTCAGTGGCAAAGCGCCTGCCTGGCAATTGCAAGGTTGTGAGTTTGATTCCTGTACTGGAAGAAAAACAAAAACAAACTAACAAAAAAGAACAGTGTCTTAAAAAAAAAAAAAAAAAACATTGTTTTACACACACACACTCACTCACTCACGAAAAAGAACAGGGTCTAGCGTGACTCCTCCCCCGCCTGCCTTTCCATTCTATTACTCAGGCTTGGTCAGAGGAGCTTTGACGTCTTGGTAGAGTCTGTTCCTTCTGGCCTAGAGGCTGCCGAGCCCCGAGTGACGGTGCAGACAGGCCCGCGGACTGCACAGGCCCCGACTTCCGCCAAGGTGCATCCTACAAAGCTGCCTCCTGAAGACTTTGGTGCGTCGCCCCCAACAGCGACCCCGCTCAGCTTAAAGAGGCCAGATCGGTCGCCGCCATTTCCCCCCAACACAGGCGGGGGGGGCGTCTCCCAGGGTGCAGTGGAGACACAGGGGTGTCAGCAAGAAAATAAAATGGGGGGTCTTCTAGCTAATCCCAACTAAAAAGAGTTAAAAAACAAACTTGACTAAAGAGATTCCCCTGGAAAATAAATCAAAGAGGTAAAAACAAACGCACACAAAGATTTAAAAAAAAAAGGCATCAAATGGCCTTGGGACTTACACCAAGGGACCAAAAAAAGAGCTGACGAGCAGGACACAGAGGAAAAGCCAGGTGCACTGCGACAGGCCGCCCCCAGCTCCCACAAAATATGAGGAAAACAAAGGGGGTGCCTGGATCACTTCAGGCAGTGTGTTCTCCCCGAGGCACTGCTCAGCACCTGGGCTGGGGTGCGGCTCAGCGGCACAGCGCCTGCCC